CATTTGCTATTAAGACATCAAAAAATATCATAGTCATAGTTGTCATGAAAGGATTTTATAAGAGCCTTTTTTGCTGCAGTGGATAGTAATAGGGCTGATTAATATACATATATATAAATTAGAGGCATCCAAAAATATTAGAATATATTTAAAAAAATCTCTTTAAAAATTATCAACATTTTCCCCTTTTTAACATATTACACAGATGATATCAACAGTTACCACACACCCAACTAAAAATTTGGGACCCACACATACATATACTTCCTATTTCTTCTCACACCATTTTCAAGAATTAGACACACTAGACATACACAAAAAAGATGCCACTAGAATTCAGATACACAAAAGACCTTACATCTCTAGGTTGTTACAAAGCTTGCATGATGCAGATAAACAATTAGAGTTTTGCAAAATTTTTCTGAATAAAGTCAATGAAGATGAGACTTTTCTTGATAAGATATGGTGGCAAGATAAAGCAACCTTTAAATTGTACAGGTATATCACTCATCCTAATTGTTTGTACTGGAGTGATATTAACTCACATGTTATCTGGGAAAAAGATGTTAATCTACTAGTAATGATGGTTTGGGCCACTATTTCATCCATGCGAATAAAAAGGGCCAATATCCTTTGATGGTATTGTTAATCAAGATAATTATTTACATATGCTGCAAACAGATTTCTTGTCAAGAGTTAGAAATCAAAAGGAAATTTACTTTCAACAGGATAGCAGGTCACTCTACTATGGCTTACACATTTGGGAATAGTTAAATCTTAATTTCAAGCTGAGGGGGACAGGACAACATGGAGCAAATGAGTGGTCATCACATTTACCAGATCTAACACCACTTGTGGGGGTGTACTGAAAGATCTTTAGAGGCTCAAACTGAAAACAATTCCTGAATTAAAACAATCAAATTCTGATAAACCTTCTGAAATTAATGTAGAAATGTGTCAAATGGTTTGCAGAGCTATTGCTGATAGGGTTCAGCATTGTATTGAACATGAAAGGGAGAATTATGAACATGTTAAATAGTTTGTTAATCATAAATCATGTTGTTTTGATATGACAATACGTATGAATTTTCTTAAACTAATGTAATTTATTTTTATTCAATAAATGTTCTTAAAAAAAGTGTTACTTTTGCCACACCGTGTATATGTAAAATGCCTGACTAACTGATTATTAACAAATATCTTGTTACAAAAAAGAAGACATTGTAATATTTATAATAATAAGCATAATAATAATAACCATAAATGTTAGTCATTGCTAGTCAACTGCAGGTGAAAAAGCCTTTGCCAAATTCTTCTATGACAACAATAACTGTAGTATTCTCAGACATGTCTTAACAGCAAACATTTACTATCTCATCCTGTGACCCCATTTTGTCCTTTCTACGGTGTGTGGACTATTATGTCAGACTATCGTGTGAATTGCGATTTTGGCTACAAGTGTTGTAGCTGAGAAACAAGAAATCTATTGCAGTTGCTACTATCAGTTGACAGTCTTTTCTTTACTATAACAAGCTATTTCGGCGTTTACTTTGTCTCTAGCAAGATGGCGGAAAGACCGTTCGACATAAAACTGATCCCCGAATTCAGTGGTGATACGAGTGGACAACCTATGGTTGAATGGATCGAAAAAGTGGAACTGCTCTGCGAATTATGTGAGATCATGAAGATTGAACGGATTCTTCCACTGTGATTGAAAGGCGGTGCCCTTGCTGTGTATAGGCAGCTGAGCAAAGAACAGAAAAGTAACATTGACCGCGTTTGGAACTGGCCGGTTCGTGGCCTACGACCAATTCCAGGTGCGGTGTCTGCGACCTGGCAAGACAGTAGACGTATATTTGGCAGAATTAAAGAAGCTTGCTTTTCCAATCGCACCGCTTCCTGAAGAATGGATGACATGTGCCTTCGTGTCTGGATTGCCTAGTCATGTTAAGCAGATACTCTGCGCATCATCCAGAATGGAAGACCTGACGCTCAATCAATTGTTGACCAGAGCCCGTGCTATCATGATTGACAAAAAAGAGGCTGATGAACCAGTGGCTGCAGTTGTTCAACCAATTGAAGTCAAAGAAGGTCCGACCCCAGCCACCCGTCGCCATGGCGATGTCACCTGCTATCGGTGCTCTGGGCCAAATCATTTTGCCAGAAACTGCCGCTATCAACACGTAGAAATGCGCAGCGGATCGGCATGAAAGGCACGTCTCGATCTACGATGCTTTCAATGTCATAAAGTAGGTCATATTGCCTCTAAGTGTCCGGGAAATGGAATGGGGGGACGCGACGTCAGTGCCGGCCTCTTCCCCGCACCGAGCATGAAAAAGGCGCTCCCTGTGACTAAGGTGCATATCAATGGAATAACGCGTACCGCTTTAATAGATTCGGGCTGCTCTCAGTCACTCACAAACAGTTCGATTTGTCGACAGTGGAGTAGACAAAAAATGGACAGCATTTTGGAAATGGTCGGAAAATAACCCACCAGAAAAGCTCCAGAACCGAGTGTCAGAATATTCAGTGCCCGAACGCATCAAGGAAGAATCCCAGCGTGAATTGCAGGTGTGGCTGGACAATGGATGGCTGACTCCGTAGCCCGAGGAAGAGCTTGGTCTTCCAATAGGCCTCATCCCGTTGATGGCCATGGTACAAAAGAACAAGGGAAAGGTGTGCCCTGTACTAGATTATAGAGAACTGAACGAACATGCGTTGTTGGCGAGAAGTGAAGGTTGGATTTGTGACCCCATTTTGTCATTTCTACGGTGTGTGTTGGACTGTTACGTCGGACTATCGTGTGAACTGCGATTTGGCTACAAGTGTTGCGGCCGAGAAACAAGAAATCTATTGCAGTTGCTACTATCAGTTGACAGTCTTTTCTTTACTACAACACATCCCTATAGCTTTTGCCTTACTTTGCTAACCATTGGCCACCAATCAAACAACCTTTTACTCCATCTGTTATCTTTTCTTTTTGCCAGGTGACCCATACAGCTCCATTTTTGTTTTAATCCCTTACATAATACCTTGGTCTATTCTCTGATACATGCTGTCTTCTTTCTATCTCTTAGTGTTATTCCTTCCATTGATTTTTGTGCTTTTATGACCTGTTTTCCAGCATTTCTGTTTACATGTTTTTGTCATATCTTGCATTATATATTTATTATACACTATTAAGTGTATTGGCAAAGTGCTTTCTAGTTTTGTTAAATGTTTTCTACTTTATTGTTATCCCTTATTTTTTCTTATTTAAACCATAAGCTTGGATGTGCTGGTAGTGTAATGGATAATGGCTCAGAATTGCTAATCAGAGAGCCGTTCCAATTTCAGTTGGGTTAGTTCGGTTATATTCCCTTACATACAAATACACAGGGAAATCCACCTCTTCTCCCAGATATGGGTTAACTAGTAAAATTTGTATTGCTAAACCATTAGTATCTCCCCACCCAAATTCTTACAATCTAAAAATATTTTCTGGTTTTAAATAACTTAGAAATGGTTGATGAACCATAGAAAATGAATGACTCGATCAATCTAATATTGATAAGAGTTTCCTTCTAAACTATTGTGTTTTAGGTAATGTGGAAAATTAACATCTTGATTATATCATTATTTTCCGTTCCAGTTTTTGTTGTTGCTGCTGATGGAAGTATTTAAGTGATGTGGGTTTTGTTATTCACTAAAGTTCTTTATTTGTGATTCTGAAGTGCCAGTCTATTGGATCTGATGAAGGATTGTCTTCTTTAAGATTTATAAGATTAATTCATTTGAATCCATTTTTGAGAAAAAGATTGTATACAGATAATAATCTGAACAAGTTGAATATCATGCATGAGATCTACATGAAAGTCTGCTTTCTAAATAGTTTTCATTGAGAGTATTTGTTAGTTTGTAAGTGTTTTTGAAAACAATTTGTATATGTTCAAGATTAATGTGATAAGGCAATAGTTGCCAAGGTCTTTATTATCTCCTTATTTTTCTTATAAAGTAGGATTACTATGCCTTCACAGAAGTTTTGAAGTACTTTCTCTTTTTGTATACACTGGGTAAATAGTTGTGCTAATCCTTTGTGGAATTCTTGTCCTGCATCTTTGAAAATATCTGCCATTTTTGCCTGGTGCTTTTCTGCATTTCTCATTTTGAAGCACAAATCTTATTTCATTTGTTATAACCTCTGGAAGATCATAAGCATCTATTTGTGGTATCTTTATTTTTGAAATATACAGGTTTGCATCATTCATCTCAGTTATTCTTTGCATCTTGTCCCTGCATTTAGTAACTTCCTCATTTCTCTCTTTCAGTGTAACCTGTTTATCTATATAGATTGGAGATTTAGCATGTTTCAAAATTTTTTTTAATCATCAAGGCTTTGTCATGTTTAGACAATATCTACTCACCACAGGTGGGTCACTGCCCATAGATCAATTATAGAAGAAAGCACTTTTCTTTTTTCTCACTTGTCAAAGAAATGTAGGTTTGGTTTGTTTTGTTTTACAGCATATCAACCTCAATGGGTCATTAAATGCTGACAACTTTTTTTTTTTTCCTGGTAATATTTTTATTTTGTCAAAAATCTATTTCTGTTAATATTTTTTTCCTCAAAAATGTATAGCTGGTAATATTATTTTTTCAAAAATGTGATATCAGAGTCAATCAGGTCAATCAGAGAAATGTAAACATACTTGCCCAACTTTTCACCAACAAACCAATGACATTCCCACATTGAGTTTATGTTCTTGTTCTCATAGGTGTAGACCAAAAACTAGGAAAGACCTACAGCATACTCATAATGTAACAATAATTTAAAACAAACACCAAATCCATTAATGCTATTGCTAAATAATCATTGACAATTCACTGATGTTAGTTTCTATCAAACTCCACAGAAATCCAAGCAGCAAGACATTTAATACCAAATACAATAAGGAGGATTTTAAATAAAAAAATTACATTTAAGGCAAACAAAAACAAAATAATCAGAATGAATGGCTTACCTGGAGCTCTTTGCTGCTTATGACTATTAAGAATGTTAACAATTTCTGACTGAAGAGCTGCTAAAGACCAAATCCTTGTTCTCGATGTTGATGCTGATGCTTGTGTATTAGTCTGGCTTTCAGAGGTTGAAGCAGTTCCATCACTTTCAGCAGACAATGCAAGAATAGATTTCTTACTTAACTGTTTAAAAAAAAGAAAAGAAAATGTCAAAATATATTGGAAGAAAAAAAGATTTGTTTTTCATTTATAATTTATGAGTAGAATATACTATAATACTGATAAACTTATAGAAATAAGTTTGTAATGTTTTGAAAGAATGTTTTTATTTTACTAGGTTTTATAGATTTACTCAGCACTCCCCCATAAAAAAAAGACAGTTGAAATAGTCCATAAGTTTACAAATGAAATATTGCTTTTACTTTAAGAAATTATTTTTTAAAATTACAGGAAATTATATTGTTTCTCAGAACTTACAAATTCTAAAAAAAAAAAAAACAAAAACAGTTGCAACTGAATATTTTCAATATTGATCTAGATTTTGTCATCTTTGTAGTATTATAAAGTATTTCATATGGGGAATCACTTATATACTGTAGTCAAAAAATTGCAGCTATGATTGTATGAAACAGTGCAGTTTAATTACTCCCAATCCTCACTTTCCAAACTTGATAATTCAAAAGTGTTTGCAGGGACTTGTGTCAGAGAACACCCTTCAATCCCTTTCACACAGATGAAATGTGACTAGCCTCTCATTTCTCTATCACTATTTTCATAGCAGCTGTTTGGGTGAATTACATTCTTTCATTCCACCAGTTTAGACATTCACAGTTAGGAGCCACCATTCCATGTACACGCATACCTATCCCTTTCATATTCCATTGGTAATGAGTAAGTTACACTCCAACAGCTTCTTTCCTACAACTGTTGCAATGTGGAACAGACTCTCAACAGGATGCTTCCTTGACCCTTATAATCTGTAAATGCCAAAAATTTGTGTAGAGTCACCAAAGTTCAAAACTAACAGTCACCAATACATACAAGCATTCAGAGTAACTTGCTCCAGCACTCAAATCTTAGTGGTTTATACAGGCATTTGAGAGGCCTACCATTGGTCAGCCAATTTGCATAACCTTGCTGATTCCTTTTGAGAAGACTTTTACTTTCAGCAGAGAATACATGCAACATGTGGGCACTTCTTTCAACAAGACAAGTAACATTCATTGCTACACAATCTTAACCTCTTCTAGTCTAGGATCAAACATTATCTATCCTATATAATATTGCTCCCTCTTGATACATTCTTACAATATCCCTATTTAGTAATCCTCTATCTTGGGTAGCACTTAGGTCTTGTGAATAGTAAAAGTAAAAAAAAAGTCTTCACGAATACAATTAATAATAGATGGCTTTGATAATCTTCAAAAATACAATTAATAAGATGGCTTAAATTCAAAGAAAAAAAAATTTAAATTTAAACATTTGCTTAAAATTACTTTTTGGATACAATGGATTAAGACTATTTCTTAGATAATTCATATGATAAAAATAAAATTATTTCTCCACATTAACAAATATATTTAACACCATAAAAATAAAATGAAATAAAAAAAATTAAAAATAAAAACAATTTAAAAATTCCTTTTGACAATAGAAAATTTAAAAAAAAAAAAATCAACAGTCAAAATATAACGAATTTTAATATTTTTTTAAAATTTATTACAATTCTGAGGTTTTTATTCTTTCTAGTATCACAATAACTAAGAACATTATTAAATATTACTGTACCTTTGCTGTCAAAAATGACAGTAATTGTTACAAAGTTTTAATAGTATGATGCAATGAAACAAAAGTCTTGAAAAAAATCTAAGATTCAATAAAGTATAGATAAAGAATTCATAACTAAAATAGAGGCCAAGAAACCATTTAATTAATCCATTACCTTATAATTTTTAGATGTTTAATGGTATCTATGATTCAGTGATTACTCCTGGTATTATATAAATTGCTCAATATCTTTACATGTTAAAAATTTTATGTATTTAATGTAACAGTGAAATGGAAATATCTCTTGAAGAAAAAGATTACCAACAGTTATGACAAAGCCTATTTCAAGATGGAGTTGAAACAAGACAATCATTTAATAAACAAAGGTATCTGAGTGCTTCACATGAAAGGCTTGTACTAATAAGACTGCAATCTAAGAAACATAGGTGTAAAGGAACTGATTAATTAAATAGTTCATTTTGCTCAGGAAATAATTTTGTCTAAATGCAGATAAATATTTTATTTGCATAGATTATTAAAATGTCTAAAAAGGAAGTAATCACCCATAAATTTACTAACTTGATTTACTTCCATTCCCACTACAGATGAGACAATATATAAATATGCATTGATAATTATTATATGGCTTGATAATAAAAATCATTTTTGTCATAAGGCAATGTTAAGAAATGTTTTAGATTTTTTTTAAACAGTTCCAATAAGTATGTAAGTACAATTATTTCATTTTTTTAAATTTATTAAGCTTCATGGAATAGAGTTAATAGCAAGGTTAAATTTTATAATCATACCAGATAGATCTGATCCACATTTTACAAAAGTAATTTACCAACATATAAATGATGCTCAACAAAAAAAAAAAAATCATTTTTTATATATGTGGCTGATGGCAGCCAGTCATGAGCTAGAAGCTGGAAGATAATAAAAAAAAAAGTAGATATGAAAGATAAAAAAAAAATTTTTTTTTAAATTAAAAATAAAAAAATCAGTGGACAGTTTAAATACCTAACCAAAAATAAAACTTTAAAAAAAATAAAAAATAAAAAGCAAGATGGAAAGTAAAATAATTCCTTTTCATTCAAACCAAACCAAATAAAAACAGTGCATCTCTCCAAAATATACTTTGATCAATGTATATTAGATATTGAGTTATAAGTAATTTTCAACTTTATTCTTCAAAAAATAAATAATAAATTACATTTTATTCTTTTATATATTCAATAATATTTACAATGACTTATTTCCACTTATCAGGAAGCTCTTCGGTACCTTTTGGGTAAAATTCCAAATGTTTTTATGTGAAAATGTTTTCAAAAAACTCATGAATCTTGTTTTCATTAGAGAAAGTTTTCACCATCAAAGCATTTTGCAGTGATCAGGAAAAGGTAATGATTGATGCAAGGCCAGGTGGGTGAGGTAGAAAAAACTAACCAGGTTCTAAAATTCTAGTGTTATTCTTGTGGCCTCATATTGTCTTGGACAAGAACAACATTTTTCTTATTTATGAGTGTAGGGCATTTTTCAACCAAACCTTTATGGACACATTGCAGCCGCTGGACATATAAATGTACATTTAATATTTTAAGAACTATAAATGAATAATACCCTGAAGATCCCACTACATGCACAGCATTACCTTTCTATCATTGAACTTGGTTTTTAGAAGTTAAGATGTCTTAGGTTCTGGATATAAGATTCATCTCTTTACTACAAACCCAAAATGAAATAAATATTTTAAACCAGGATGAATGAACTTCCTCTTATCAATCAGTATTATAATTGTCAAAATCAACAATAAGAAAATAGAATATATTTCATGTAAAGTTTGGCAAAGTTTAACATACAAAAAAAAAAAACAAAAAAAACCAGTATGTTAAAAGGATGTTTTACTCATGACGCTGTTAATAACATACTCATTACTTGCATATTGTAGCAAACCACCCTCATTCCCTTCATATTCCATTAGTGAGATGTAAGTTTCACTCAAACAGCTTCTTCTCATAAACCGCTACTTTGTGGAACTGACTCCCAAGAGGATGGTTCCCTGATTACTACAATCTTAAACCTGTTCAAGTCTAGTGATAACCATTATTTTTCCTACATATCCTCATAAACTGTGCCTCTTACTCTATAGCTCTCTAACTTGGGCAGCTCTTGGTCCTTGTACAAAGTGAACATTATCTTACTTATTATAAAACGCAGATTGTGTGTGTGTGTGTGTGTGTGTGTGTGTGTCTGTAACGTTTATATATTGGATCGGATTTCCTACATTTTTCAACCGATTTCAACAAAACTTCACAGGGCTACATAAAATTACCTTGTGGTGGTTCTAACAGCACCAAAACGGGAAAAATATAATTGTTTTTGCACAAAATCAATTTGAAAACACGATTAAAAGACATTGTGAAAATGGAAGGGGGACAACTCACATCGAGTTGTTTGTGTATGTGGGTTCCTTTAAATATGGGAGCGGATTTCCTATATTTTTCAGCCAATAAAACAAAACTTCACATTTTTTTTTTTTTTTTTTTTGGCAGGTAGTGTTTCTTATTCTCTTGCACACTTTTTTCTTTATTTTTAACATTCAGAGTGCTTTAAAAATTCCATTTACAAGACAATTATTTATGATAAAATTCTATTCAATCGGGAGACTCATAACAATTAAAAACAATGTTTTTGTTTGAGTTTGACCAATTCCTAAAAAAAAAAACTAATTAAGACATGCGTGTCCGTCAACCTTAAACAATAATCTAACGATCTCTACTGATTGTACGAATACAAACATCGGAATAAATTCTTTATCTTTAGGGAAAGATAATGAAATCTAAATATACACAAGTCCTAACTAAAAATAATAACCGAATGGGAAACTACTTTAAATACACATGGTGTCATCTTTTTTTTACTGTATTCAATAAGTAAAAAATCATAAATTGTAAAAAAGATTATTATTACAGAAAGGCTACTAAATGAATAAGATTTGTTAGATCATAATTAATAAACCCAAATAAAGTTAATATTTTTTGTATTAGAAACAAAGTGGAAAATATATTCAAATCAGAATTCTAATTATGAATCACCACAAGCAAAATATGCAATTTTTTTTTACTGTATTCAATAAGTAAAAATCATAAATTGTAAAACTAAAAGATTACAGAAAGGCTACCTACATTTTTCAACCAATTTCAACAAAACTTTTTTTTTTTTTTTTTTTGGCATGTAGTGTTTCTTATTTCTTGCACACTTTTTTTTTTTTTATTTTTACATTCAGAATGCTTTAAAAATTCCATTTACAAGGCAATTGTTTTATAAATTATTCTATTCAATCGGGAGACTCATAACGATTGAAAACAATGTTTTTTGTTTGAGTTTGGGTTTGACCAATTCGTAAAAAAAAA